TTTCAATATTTCACTAACAAGCTCAAAGTAAAACCACGCTGAATTAACTAGATGCTAATATATTAAGAAAAAGGATTTATAATCCAATACTTAAAGTACCCAAGTAGGTAAAAAAAAAAAAAAAAATCAGAATAGGTACTCTCAAACTAATAAATACCCACAAACCTGAAAGATGTTAAATCTCTGAAAACTAGCATCTGAATTTTTTTTTAATAAAAGTTACTTGACAGTATGCTTCTTGAGCCATATCAGTACTGCAAGTACTCCATCGTAATCCAAAGCTATATGAAAGAACCAGAATTATCTGCATTATCTTTTATAGCAGGTCTAAGGCAAGACATTTTAAAAACACAGAGCTTCCATATTTCAAGTAATTATTTTCCCCTTCAAAGTAGATGGCTTCTGTCTTCAAAGTTATTATTTTTTTTTTTTTCAGTCCTCCTAACTTACTTAAAAGCTGGAACTGGAGATTCAGATTTGTGGAATTAGGTTAAAAAATATACAAAAAAATCCCTTACCTTTGAATCTGGAGATCTATAACAGCTGAGTTTCAGTGCCAACAAAACAGAAGTTTCATGAAACAAATCACTTTGCTTTTGATCTACCTTAAGCTATAATATCTTATTCCTATATTAATTAGCAAATGTAGCATTTAATAAAATTATCTTTTTTTTCTTTCTAAAAATTTAATATCATTGAAAAATACCTTAATATAGGAAAAGCCTAGTGTAATGTATGAAAGGCCTACTCCAATCATCCTACACTTTCTGAAGGAAATGATTACTCCTCATCTCTTAAGCAGCACTGGTGCGAGTATACTGATTTTTCTTGTGGTGAATAGCAGCCCACAAGTTAAGGAACTGATGCAAACTGGCAGATTTCCCCTTCTAATTCTGAGTCATATGCGTCATCTTTTTGTCAAAAGCTGGGAAGAAAAAGAGTCTCTCTTCCAGCCTGCCACATGAAACCACCTGCTTAAAGGCAGAACAGACCAATATTGCAATGCTGCAATACTGGTCTGCACATTGCTAGTACTTACACATTTGTACTTGCTTTGTTCAAATAAACAAAATACTGAAGACAGCTTTAATGTTAATGACAGAACTTATCTCTTTGATTTAGGGCCAAAAATCAAGCTGGTAAAAGGAAAAAAAATAAAAGGGAAAAAAAAAAGAGAAAAGTCATATTGGCATGAAAGTGCTTATTCTTAAAATAAAGTCTTACCTGCAAAAGACTAAGGGTTCAGTTTCTTAAAAGCTTACATGCATGCTTGGTTTAATCACCTAGAATCAGACAGGTTTCATAGAAATACATTCCAAAACCAAGAGTTCATGTGTGTGATTAAGACCTGTGTATCACTGTACATGGCTGCCAAGTAATTCCTCAAACTCACTCCCCAAATTAAACGAAAAATCTCCTCTAAACCCCAGAGAACCTACCAATTTCATAGGTTAAATTTCACATGCTCCATTTTCCCCCATGTTGTGCGTTTTGCAAATTAAGAACCAAGAAAACTATTTTCTTCTTGAACAGACTGATCAAGGCCAGTCATGGTTGGACTATATATACTGTGTTATGACACAATAGCTCTCTTTCAAAGGCACTAGCACCAGTTAAGGTTGGGCACATCATCACTGCCAGCAGATTACATATTGTCAAATTGCACTAGAGCTGCTGATCAGACCTGCTGAACACAGGTGTAAGTGTTTACTGCAACAATGCACTGCAGTATTTCTATTCATCTGTGGCACTGCCAGAGTGATTGCAAGTAAATATTCTTTCTTGAAAAACAACTTGAAAAGTTGTTGCAGCTAAAGCAAATTTTAGACATTAATAGTAAGTTGTGCAAAAGAACGCAGAGAAAATACGACTTGACTAACTGATCCAGAGTGTAGAAACAAACATGCCACTTTAATAATAGATCAGCTTTTTTACATACAAGTACACAAAATATATAAGATATTATATGTATATATATGCATATAAAATTAGATAGAAAGGTATAAACTCACACACACACTCTTACATAAAATGCCCTTTGTTTTCAAATTTGTACTGTGCCACAAGCATTTACACGGCTGGGTGCATACATTTCAATATAATGAGAAAATTTGCATTGCTAAAATAAGAATACTAGAGTGCTTTTCAAGAACCACGACACCATCATTTGCATTACAGGTTATTATTTACAAGTATTTAAGATGTTCTGTAAATCTATAATGAACACTGCAACAGTGAAAACTGTAATTTATTATGTAATGCACTGTTATATAAATTGTTTAAATTGTGTACAATATACACAGATGATCTCTTCTACTTGGTTAAATATTAAATACAGCACTTTATTGCTCATCTTCAACTATTTTTTTCCATTCTATATAACATATTTTACATGATAAAATTAGAGAAACAAAGTACCTCTCTGATGCCTTAGTCTGGTTATTGTGTGGTTTGGTTTTTGTGTATTTTTTAATATTAAATTAATTATTCATATTGTCATCTTAATTTGACTAACTTTACAGTATTTTGTAAGAAAATATTTTACTCACCATGTATTCCATTTTCCTTGGTACTTAACAAAAGACATTTAAGCTTTTCTGCAATGTTACCTTACCCCCCAAAACCCAGTATCTTTCCAAGAGTCTGATGTAGCACATGACAGCAAATAAAAACCAAAAAACACCCACCACCTAGAAAGTTATGCCTTTTTGACAACGGCAAGAGTGAACGATGTAAGACACTGTGGAATATGTTTCTTAACTTGTAATTCAGCAAAGAGTAACAACTGTCTTAACTTCTTTCTCATTCAGTGGAGCACTCCAAGATATGAAAAGTGAGTTAAACCATTTAGGAGGGTAATCACAAAGAGCAGCTTTTGTCTGGGGGAGAACCTGGGAAAGTCTCCATTGTCTCCCTCTTTTTCATCTCAGGGCCACAGGCACCCATAACTGTTCTGGGGTAGGCTGCTGCTTTGAATTGCCCTCTAGTGTTAGCCTTCATTAATTCCTACCTCAATGACAAATCCTGTTCAGGTTTTTAATAATGGAAAGTGGGTCAGCAACATAACTTATGTTAAGCTAAAAAAATTAAACAAAAAAATTTGAACAGTGTTCCAAACTCATTTTCAGGTCAGAAGACTGTGAGGTTGACAGATAAGTATTACACACCAACATACAAGAAGTCTATATACCTAAATGGCCAAAACCCCCCCCCCAAAAAAAAAAAAAAAAACCCCCCAAAAACCCACCCAAAAAAAAAAAAAAAAAAATCAAGGACAAGGACAGATTTATGAAAGAATTTATCAACATTGTATTTTACATTTTAGTGAGTTTGTTATGCAGTTTCAAAAAAATATCAGTTTCTGAAGCAAATACTCAATATTCACAGCCAAATTCACTGTCATTACGGTGGGATCAGAACATCAGAAAAACAGAGGAGTTGCTGGTGTCAACAGAACACAGTTTAGCAGTACCAATACTCTGGAAGGAATTATTCTTTCACTGCTAATTCAAGAGTCTCCTTGTTACACCCTAAACCCAGATGCAAAACAGGCACCATGAAGATCCAGATTTTAAACCTGATAATACTAGGAAGAGAAGGCAAGCATTTTTCCCTGATTTTATTTCAAACCATGTTTTATCTGCTATCAAATTGTTTAGAGAGGTCATGAATCTGGGACTTAAAGAAATATGGAGAATATATTAGTAACACTTGCATGTCATACAAGCTATGGATTTCCACATCCATAGAATTAAAGATGAGCTTATGACCCTTTGTTTAAAAAATACTTTGGTCCTACAGAACTACAATCCTTCACTCTGACAGAGCTGAAAAAATATTTTTAGAATTAGGTGTTAACACAATGAAGAAAAGTACAGATTTGAGTGCTGCTTTTATAACTCCTGTGCTTGGCATTAAAAGCAGCATTCTCTCTTCTCCTGAGAAGTTGGAAAAAATCTTTTGGTTTTAGGGAGCAGAGGGACAGGGTAACCAGTACCTATCATTCTTTTTGATCAGGAGTTCTTTTTGCCTGTGGAAAATGCTAACAATAAGTGTTACAGTATCAAAAGAGAACTCTGTTCCACAATAAACTTTTCAATACATTTTCACTCAGAGAAGGACTTTCTTATAAGAGCCATTGCAATGTTTCACAACAGATGGAGCATCTTCTTTTTCTAATTACTGAGCTTGACTAAAATATGGACTAACTTGCAACAAGAGAAAGAGAGGTATTTTCAGAATAAAGTGATAGCATTCATAAGATCACAGTATCTACCCATTCTACCAAGAGCAAATTTTGCTCCAAAAGAATAACAGAAATTATAAACCAAATGTTTTCATTTATCAGATCCACTGGAAGTCCTGCTAAATTTAAAAGTGACTTATATGTCTAGAAGTGACTTATATATCTATTTTGAAGTAGGAAATGATCAGTTAAATTTGGGAAGATCATAATCATGTTCATAATTACAATACTTTCTAAATGTCTAAGTTAATTTCCATATGAATACTAAAATCCATTTCCTTCTGTGGGGAGAAAGGGCAGTTAAAAAAATTTTTAAAAAAATTAAATTGTTCTTCATGTCAACTAGGAAGTGGAAGTATAAAATCACAAAAAACTTTGACTAAAGGCTTTAAAAAAAAACACACCAACAAACCAAACCATCCACAAAACAAAAAAGAAAAACCCCATAGGACACTCACAGGAAGTAAAAACCAAGCTCTTAATACTTAGTGGGTTAAAGAAAAGGTGTAAATACTTCAGAGGCATTTGAACATGACTAAGATTTTTAAGTACCTCACAAATTAAAAACATATATTGCTGATATCTTGCTTTGACTAGATTATCTTGATAATGTATTTCAATAAAAAGAACTAATTCTCTTATAATATTGGTCTAAAAATTTAAATAACAAAAAAAGTCCTGCCCCTAACAAACGCAGAAAAAAAAAATTACCATGAATATCCATGTGTTTGAAAGAAATACAAAATTAACAAAGTTAGAAACAATTGTTTATTCAAATGCACTACTCAATTAGCAATTGCATCTTCATACATGCCCTGTTTTTAGTGTGCAAACAGCAATCTAAACCAAGGTGTATTAAGAAGCCATCAATACACCATATGAACACTTAATTTTGATTACATTTCTCATTCCCCCACTGAAACCTTCAAAGTATGGGTCAACATAAATTCCTCCTTAGGCTTCTGTTGAAATTAGACAAAAATAACAACAAAAAGGGGGCAATGCCTTACTTATATATTTATATTTGAGTGAGAAGAATAAGCATTTAAATATCCCAGTTAGCATATTTTAACTATTTTTCCAAAAGAATTTCCATGCCATTTGCTTGTCTTTTCCTATTGCTTAGCAAGATCATTTTACCAACAGACAAGGAAAAATGATGTGTAAGAATGTCAGTCTTAAATTCTTCCTATATACATGTTTCATTGAATGTCTGAAGTAATAATAAAAATTAATGTCTATTTAAACCTTATACTCTACAAAACTCCATTCTAAAATAATGTAGGGCTGGATTTAGTTTAAACTGACAAAATCCAGGAAATTCAGTTGCTTCAGATTTAAAACTTAAAATAGTCATGCCTAAGATATCAAACAACGGTTGATTTTACATGTATTGTAATAACTAGGAACGGGTTGCATTTATAGCTAGAGATCTCTTTCAGGAAAATTATTTCAGTTGCCTTTGCAAAGCAAGAGAAATCCTTAAAGAAATCATAAACTAACTGTAAAAGTAATCTGCAACAGTTCCTTTTGGATGAGCAACAAGCATGCATTGTCAGCTTTCAAATTATGATTTAGTTAACAAGACTTGCAGAGCCTCAAGTGTTATACCTACAGTAGGAACAGTAGAAGTGGCCATGAAAAGTTCCACATCTGAAGCACTTCAGTAAAGAAGTCTGCACATTTTTATCTTTTCAACCTCATTACAATTAGATATTGCAAAACAGTTTACAAAGTCAAGCACCCAGCTTGCAATAGCCACACCAGCAATTTTTAAGGGGCAAGCACGGCAAGCCCTTAATTCAGGTTGAACTTCCAACAAAATCAGTAGTTGATTTGCTAAATAAGAACTACAATAGGAGATGCTAAGAGTAGGAAAATAAAACAAATGCACCCCACCACCTTTCTTGCAAGTTTCACCTACTCTTCGGGTAAAGAAACATTCATGTTGAATACCAAGTACAAAATAGCTCTAGAAAAAGAAAATTAAAAATTAATATGGGCCAAAATTCAGCACAAAAATATTCTAGAGCAAATCAACACATTAAGTGGACTCTAATCATAACTGACAACTGCAGCACTCTTAAAAGATACTAGAGCTTGTAAATGGGAAAGACCCAATTACTACATTACTGCAAAACTCTTTGCACTTTCTAAAAAAACATTTAGACTTGTCTTAAAGTTCTAAATACTTTAATATATACTAAATTTGTAAAAGGAAAGAAAGTGTGCATCTAATGAGAATACCATTCTGCAAATCCTTATTCATGGTCGTGAGTCATTAGAACTACTTGTGTATATTAAAGTTTGTAGGATTAGGCCCTAAATGTAAAACCCCTTTGATTTACAGTTGTGAACCAGAAACCACCTTTTTTTGCTGAATAAGAATCTATGAGAAATACTCTGAACCTGTGTCAGACCAAGGAACACTCCATCAAACTTTCACCTTTTAAATATCTCACAAGGGAGCCTTAGATACCTTTGCCTTGCAATATAATCCTGATTTTCATTAACAAGAATGTAACTGCTTTTGTACAGGAAAAAAAAAAAAAAAAAAAAAGAACAAACTCAAACTGTTCAGTGAAATCCTAAAATCCTTATTTTCCTAAGAAAGCTAGTAGAAAAAAAGGGAAAAAAAAGAAAAAAAAAGAAAAAAAAAAGGAAAAAAAATAGAAAAATAAAATAAGAAAGAAACAACAGCAATGCACTACCTCCAAAGCAGTTTGTGGAGAGACCGAAATATTTATTTATTTGGAAGCATATTAGGCATGTTACCCAAACACAGTTACAACATTAATAGAAGTACTTTCACTGTGTGGTAAATCACATAAAGAAAGGATTAAAACTGAAAGAATTACTACTCACTAATCAAAAACTTCAAAGCGTATATAAAGTTAAGGTTTACTTCCTACACTTTCTGAATTCAAAATTTTCTTACTCAACTAAGAATTTTCTCTAGGAGGCCTTAACTACCCCAAAATCATAGTATTGCATAAAAAATATATTCAGAATCCATCTGCCTTAAATACTTCTGTAACAGGAGGTGTACTGCTGGTAAATTCCAGTAATTCTTCAGTTCTACCAGCTACTACTTACAACAATGAGGAAATATGAAATTTACACCTCACTGGATTTCCTTGGTAGAAATTAGGAGTTACTGGGATAAACTGAAACTTTGGGTTTTTAAAACTTCTCTGATTTTAAGGTATAATTACTTCCTAAAAAGAAAAAGTGTTCTTGAAGACAGACAGATTTGATTAAGGATAAAAACTGAATTCCAGCTGAAAGTTGGAATTGCTAAAGTCACAACATGTTCATAAAATTTGCTGTACTGCAATATGTTCTGCTGAAGATAAAGTCTTACAGATTTTACTATTCCATTTTGTATTTAAACAAATTTACTCAATCCAAGACCAGTTACTATTTTAATTTCAGAGGTCTGTGTAACTGGTTAGTTAAGACTATTCATATATGAGTAGATAGGTTATGATTACTCTGAATGGATTTCTCAGTTTCAGCCAAATGAGTACTTTTAGTGCAAAGCAGGACTTGCAATATGAATGCAGCAGAGTCCATATTAATTCCTCTAAATTGTTCAGTGTTTTGCTACATAATATCTGCTTGCCAAAAAATAAGATAAATAAAATTTCTGAATATTCTGCTACAGATGGAAGGCTCTGAAAACCTGTTATTTTTTTTCTGTTTTCTGCTTCTTTGCTTGTCAGGTAGCTAGTTTATTAATGCCTTTAAAACCAAATTTTACACACTACATGGAAATACACCCAGCTAGCTCTCTATTCTATTCTTTAACACACCTTCCCAAAAAAAAAAAAAAAAAAAAAAAGTTATTGAAAAATGATTTTTTAATATCACCCATACTTTGTTTTTGGATTAGCAACATTTCAGTTGGAGTAATTCCCAAGACAGGAATATGAGAACAATACTATATGGAGAATTTATATAGCTCAAATGGATCAAGGCTGTTGCAAACTCAGCTTTTTATACATATTTTTGGCCACTTCATTTCCTTCTGAGCACAGCCTGTGTTAATACTTTTACTTAATGTTTTATAATTTTACAGGAGGAGTGTAAAGAAGAATTATTTTAACAAATAATAAATTCTTGAGCAATCCCATTAGAACTGGCCTATTTTGAATACTCTGAATAAGTTATACTACTGTGTACATTTTTTAAAATAAAGAACATATGTAATAAGAGAAATGTTAATATAATATATACCATGCTCATGCTCCATCAACCTTCCAGAGAGTTTTTCAATCACAGGAGTAAGCCGTTCTCCAAAATCAGCTCTCTATTGAAAGGTCAAAACCTGCAATAAAAATGTCATGTATTATAACATATTTCCAACACCCACAGTTTCATGGTTGATCCCCAAACATAGATGTAGGTCATCAGCTTGACCCTCGCATTGTCTATGTTACAGGAAATCCTAATTTTAAAAATACTTTTTTTTTTAAACCAAACTGACTTGATTAGGAACACCTGTGATATGCCTCTTTATTATCAGAAGCCTCCTGAAACAAATCAGATTAGCATGTTTCTGCTTTCATTCTACCCACAGCATTTTAAGATGAAAGTAAGAGGAAGGAGGAGGAAAAAAAAAAGAAAAAAAAAAAAAAGAAAAAAAAGAGTAAGGGGTGTTGTTCTCCCTTCCTACCCACTACCAATCCCTCTTTCCACCCTCAAACAAGCAAACAGGTAAGTTTTTTTAGTAAGTAAACTATCTAATGGATATGTGATTACTGCTGTCATATTTTCTAAGATATGCTATTGACTGTTAATGCATTTAAATTCTAGTGTTTCACTTTAAGCAATTTTAATTTTTTTTTTTGGCTCTTCAAGGCAGTACCATTATTGTCTTTACTAAAATTCAGCCTACAAATATTAGCTACTTTAAAACATATAATGGAAAAACTACAGTCATATAATACATTCTGAGAGATGAAATAAAATTTTAAGAGTTAAAAAAAAAAGAAAAAAAAAAGAAAGACAATTTAAAAAAAAAAAAAAAAAAACAAAAAAAAAGCATCAGCCCAGATCAGGTAAGAACAAAGTATAACTTGACAGATGCAGTAAATATAGCCAAATAGCTACTGGAGGAAATACTGCATTCAGAGAAACAAAATCTTAACTCTGTTTTGACTTTATTTGAACTTTTCATTGTAGACACCATAACAAGACACATCCTATGCCTAATAAATGAATAGCTGATGCCTAGATCAGGTCACCTGCTCATAAATACTTCCATAAATTTGTTCTTTATTCTTTAAGAGTATTCCAGAAAATACTACAACCCTCTTCACAGCTATGGACTTATAATAATCACCCTGCTTTAACAAGAAAAAGGACTTTGTATTTTCGTGTATTCCACACATCATGTATTTCACCTTTTAAAAAAAAGTTTTTGTTCTTAAACCAAACACACCAAAGTTGTGGTCCCCCTCTGTGCTTATAATGAGATTTAACATACTTGAAGATTATATTGAAACTGGACTTACATAAAGCTTTTTAAAATGAAAATACATGCCTAAGCCCTATACGATGTGTAATTATCTTTTTCTCAGACTAAATCTTCAAGAGAATTTCAGTTCATGCTAAATAAAATAATTAATTTTAACAAGATTCAATGCTGAAAAATTTATTAATAATCTATTTACTGCAGATTCACTCACTACAGTGTCTGAAAACAAACTAAATAGTCACGGGGTGGGGGGGGTCCTATTTCTAACAGTGGTTTCCTTTAGACATTAGTAACGATCACTGAAAGTCACTCTTATCTTTCAGTTTTAAGCAATATAACAATATCGCCTTCAGTTTTAGAGGGCATCTTGGGAAACCTTTAACAAAATAAAAGCTAAATGTACATAATTTACATTTGCTACTGTTGTGTGCATATGGTAATAAATATGTGTGTGATGTCATCCTTACACACTAGCAACTGTTCATTATTGAGCTCTGGAAAAGTGTTAAGAATTAGATAAAGTTTAAAAATTTAGTATTCTCTGTAAAAAGAACTTTTTTTTTGGTTTTAATAATGCACTAAAAATATTATTACATGCAACTATTAGAATAAAAAATTGACCAACTTTAAGTGTTAGCTGGATTAGAGCTCAAGTTGTTTCACCCTCCTCTAACACTCATCCAAATCTTCTAAAGTTCTCACATAGCATTCAAAGTGAAGATCAGAACTATTCCTCAGTTGTGGTAATGTCAACTGTATCCCAAAGTTTCATACAAACACTTATTAGAATAAGTGTTTTCAAAACTTACAGGAAAGGGTTAAAAATAATCAGTACAGACATTGCCTTACACCCTTATGGGCAGAAATTTTTATACCTAGCTTACTCCGAATATTTCTGAAATTGTCCAGTATCCACAATGAAGACATTTTTCAATAAAGAGATTCCTTTTGAAATCCAACTTAAGTATTAATACACCAGTAACCTGAAAATTCAACATAACTCCTGCCAATAATGCAAAAAAAAAAAAAAAATTGCAAATCAACATTTTCACTGACTAAAAGAGGTTACTGGAAATCTGTGGCTACACCTCTGCCTGATGTCCCTTTTCTATCTGAGGGGCATATCAACTTTTTTCCTATCTTTAAAATACATTACTAGTTCTATTAAAAAAATAGATGGCTGTGAGAAGAGTCACAGGGGACTAAGCTCAAAAACAATTTGGGCAGCCTGTTCAAACAAAATTTTCCAAGTATTACTGATAATAGAAAACACAAATTTTCTTGAAATCAGGTTCCAGTACTAGATATTAAGTGTTTAGAACTTATAATAATAAATAGGTGAAAAAAAAAAACCGTGGAGAACACTTACTGGTGTACATGAAGTTATTTTTAGTTTTAAAAACTTTCAGACAAAAATATTTTTGTTTCTACACAAAAACCTACAATTTCATTCCCCATTTGTTTCACAGACAGTCAAAACTAGTCCAAGATGCGCTCTATCCTTGACAGTTTGTAATGAATGTGAATTACTCAACTAACTTGCAATGGGCCTTTAGGTGTGGGTGGATGACTGCATCTACAAAGCAGAATACCTGCAGCATATTCATAGATACAATGATAAGCTTCTTGGTGCTCTCTTACATATTCAGTAGTTAATTGCTCCCCAGAGCAAATAACAAAACACAGTAAGGTCCTATAAGAAGACCACTAACTGATATGTGGCTACTTTTCCTGAAAAGAAAGCTCATCTGCTTTTACATGTGTAAAAGTGTATCAGAAAAGCAGTGATACACCTGTTAGGATGGCTTCTGACACTCAAGATGGGTGAGATGTGCATCTTCACACAGTGTTCACAGGCAGGGTATACACAGCCAGGTAGTTTGTATGCAGTTCCAGTTGTACTTCACCGCAGAATTTGACTTATTAGTCATAAAAATAATTAAGGAATTAAAGACTCCAATTTATTTTTCCTTCAATGACATTACATTTTGGATGGAATAGCAATAGGTTCAGAATTCCAGAAGCTAAGGATAAAAAAACCCAAACAATGAACTAAGCAGAAAAAGAACCCCATGATACCTTGGTATCGTATATGTAGTCTGCCTGTAAAATGTTACTGCAATAAGATTTCTATGAAGCATTAGCCTAACACATTAAAAGGTCACACAGATACACAGTCATACTTTCAAATTACGGTTATTTCTGAAAATCAAAAACTTCATGAGTTACTTCCAGCTTCAGTAGATTTGTATCTATAAAATGAGAGGGTACCCTCTTCGAAACTTTCAGTAAAACTTTAGAGGAGAAAAAGAAAAAAAAAACAAGCCCGAACCAAATGAAGCTTATTTGGATGTTTTTCCTAAGAAAAAAGATAAAGGATTAGACTCAAAAGTAACAGAGGAAAAAAAAATACACACACTATGCTACATGCTATACCAAAGCAAGGTTTAATTAAGCATAGAACTTTAGCTTTCACTTATTGATAAATTATAAATATATACATTTAGATATTCAAGTTCAATTGATATTTCCTCCAAATGTAACTTTTCCAGGGCCAAGTAATCCCAGTTAATGTTTGACATTTTAACTGAGGTAAAAAATGCAAGCAGCTCTACAAGGGTCTATTTAAGCTACATGATTTCCCCCCCCCCCCCCGCTTAATTTCTCAAAAGAAGGAGTACATAAAATATAAGAAAGGAAAAGTGACTTAAAATACACTATATATTCATATTAGATTGCTTATTGCTTTCATTTTAGCCACACCCACCTTTATGTAATTGTAAAATATGAGAACAGTGCAGCTGAGAAATAAGAAAGCTTAAAAGAACAGTTGTTTCATGTAGTCAAATATGTGCTAAGCACAGATTTTAATTAAAATGGAAAAGATGTATAAATTGCATGCTACTGAGCATGACTAGTGGGGAAAACTGCACACGCACCTGTACAATACTGAATTATAGAGGTTTTTTGTAAATTAGCTATGAGTCAGGACAGTTATTTCAATGAAAGTGAAAGTCAGTATTTGTGAGTGCACTTCCACAGCGAAGTAGTGTAAATCTCTTCAAATTCTGATATTTCAAAGTATACACAGCTACAGTGAAATAGCTGTGTGCACATTCCCATACCGACTGTCAAAAATATTTCTGAAAACACTCTGAAAGTAATGATGCAGAGCTAAAGAAATGAGTGCTAAATCTCAATAGGATCTCACTAGTATTTCAATTTCAAGGATTAAGCGGAATTTTCTATCAGGGCACAAAGGTATGAATTGCGGAAACAAACTAAGCAGCTATTCCCAGGGAAAAAATAACTGAAAAAGTGTAATTTATGTACTGGATTAAAAGAATCCAGGGAAACTAGGGATTTGAGACAGAAAAATCTCCTTGAACTGTTGGATTTCTGCGTTACACAGAAAATACTTTGAATCACAATCCAGTTGCCATGCTGAAAACGCTAAGTTTTGCATTTCACTTTAAGACTACACGCTCTCAGCCATGTACACAGAAATCTTTTGTACAGCACTTCTGCACCCCAACTCTTCTCTACGTCCCTCCTACGTCCCTCGGTTAACTCGTTATTTTCGGTGGCCGCGGTACTCAAGCGCAAGGCGGCCGCTTCTGGCTTTGAACGCCGCGGAGGGATGCGCGGGGGGGGGAGCGGGGGACGGGGGGGCAGCGTGGGGGGAGGAAGAGGAGCGGGGAAAGGCTGTGACCCGGTCCAACCTCCCAGCCCCGCGTCCCCGCAGGCAACCAGGGAGGGCAGCAGCCGGTCCAGCCTCCGCTGAACGGGCGCCTTAACGGGGGGCCCGATGCCGCTTTCGCTGCGCATCCTGCGCGCCCGCCAGCTCGACGGCAGCCCCGGGCGCCCGCCGCTCACACGGCATCGGGGAAAATATCCATGCGCCTTCCTGCCGCCAGAAAAAAAAATTTTTAAAATAATAATGATTAAAAAAAATGTCAGGCGGCCGAAAGTGAAGAGGGAAGTAGGAAGAGGAATAAAAAGTAACGCTTAGAAATTGTGGCTGGGAAGGAGCCTGCTGGCCTGGCAGCGCCCGAGCTCTCTCCCGGCCCCGCCGCACGGTGCTGTCCCCGCCGGCGCTCCCGCCACAAAAAGATGCCTTGTGAGCCTGTGTGCGCAACTCCGAAACGCGAGCGCCCACGCCAGAGCCGGCCCCGAGGGGGTTAAACGGCGTCGTGGAGAAAAAGGCACCGTGTCACATATTATGTGTGTATGTGTGCGGAGGGGGAATCGCCCGGCGCACAGGCTGCGAGAGATCTCGGCGCCTATCACAATAAGCACGATCGCGTTCATACAGCTACGAGAGACCGAGAGCTGCTGGCCACCGAGAAATGACATAGAAACAACCACCAAAAAATAGCTAAGCCAATGACAAATAGCGACCCGGGTGACAGAGACAGAGAATTTTGTAGGCGGAGAAGAGGAGGTGAATGGCCAGCTCTGATCACAGTATTAGGCTGGGCTATCTATGGGGAGGGTATTTACTCGGTTTTGGGGTGTGTGGGAGGAGAGGAAAAACACCTACAAATAGCTGGCACGATTCAAATGGTCTCGGATTATGTTTCCCCCCCTCCAGTCCAGGAAGGAAACTCGCTTTTTAACGCTACGAGAGGGAAAAAATAGCTTGTGCAATAGGGGATGAAGAGCACTTTGGTCATTCGTTAATACCCAAAGGGGCAGAGATGATAAATGTGACAGCATGTGGCAGCACGACCGTCACCCGGGCTCCTGCAAAAGGCGGCTCCATATCGCGACACGGGAAATTAAGCGATTGAGTGGGAGGTGGAGAAAGCGCTTAAACGGAGAAGTTAATCTGCTAACATGGAGAGGAAACAAACGGAGAAAAAAACCCCGAAGGTTGTCCTCTATATATTTTTTTGGGTGGGGGGGTGCGGGGGGAGAAGGGAAAGGGAAGAGAAAGAGCGAAGGGGCATTAATCCAGCTTACGAAAACACGGGGAGAGAGGAAGGAGGAGGAGATGTGCATGTAAGTGTGGAAGTCATCCTGGCGGCTGCTGCTGCAGAGCCGGGAAGCAGGAGCCTCCGTGTCCCGGGCGCTGCCCCGAAATTTCCACGGCGGAGAGCGGGGGGTGGGGGGGGAGAACGCGGGAGGGAGGGATCCGCTGGCGGGAGGGTGGTAGGGACCAGAGGGGAGATGAGGGGAAGCCTGTCCTATCATGTCCCGGGAGCGCGGGGCACCGGGACCCTCTGGAGCTCCAGCTGTCCCGCGGCTCCCGCCCGCCCCCCCGCCAGCCTCCGCGCCGCTCTCCTCGGGCCGGGTGTAAGCGGCGCTCCCGGGATCCCCGCCTGGGCGCGGTGCCGCCCCGGGGAGCAAGCGGGGTTACCTGCCGGAGGAGACGGCCGCCCCCGACTGCTGAGGCTGAGGGAAGCGAGTGACAGATCCTCCCCAGGACCTGCCGCCGCCTCCCGGCCCGCTGCCTGCCGGGCTCCCGAGGTGACTTTTCCCGGCGGCGGGGTGCAGGTTGCCCCCGTTTTCCAAAGACGCTCTTCCTCCGCCCGCCCAGCTCCCTCTGCCCCAGCCGCGCCCGGTCCCTCTGGCTCTTACCGCCTGTGCCGGCGGCGGCAGCGGCGGCACCCGCTCCGAAGCGCGACGGTGAGCGTGGAAGCGGGGTAGCGGAGGGGAAGGGAGATGAGTTTCGCGGGGCGGGAGGGCGGGCGGCCCCCGCGCCTCCCCCGCGGCGGCGGTAGCAGCGATGCGATCGGGCATCACTCGAAAATGGCGCCGAAAGAGCGGAGGGCTCTTCATTCAAATTCGTTAGCGCCAGCCCCGCCGCCCCGGGGCATGCCGGGAACGGGGGGGGGCGCGCGGGGGCTGAGGCGGCAGCGCCGCACGGACACGGCGCTCGCTGTCAATGCCGCCCCTCCCCCCCCAGCTCCCGCCGCCCGCGCGCGCGCTCCACGCCCTCCCCGCTCACCGCGCGCTCCCGACCCAACCGCCGCTGAGGGAAATGTCACCCGGAGCCCGGGCCCGCGGGGGAGAGGTGGCGCGTTAGAGATGTGTGTGGGAGAGAGGGAGCGAGAGAGAGAGAGAGAGAGGGGGAGCGAGACCTCCGCTGGCCCCGCGAACTTGTCAAGGTAAAGGCGCCGGTGGAAGGGAGGGGGATGGATAGGGGGGCACGACAGCGGATTTTGGGAAGGTAGGGAAAGGAAGCCCGGCTGGGGGAGGGGGATGTGCGCCAAGAGGACCTGAGGAAAATATGAACAGCGCCTGCCCCCCGCGCCCCCCCCCGCGCCTCCAAGGACCCCCGCGGCTCCCGCTGCGCTCAGGTTGCAGCCTGACCCCCCTTGTCCCCCCCCACGGCCGCGCACCCCGCCGCAGCCAGAGGAGGGTTCGGCGCGCTCGGCGCTTGCCCGCAGCGCGCGGGCCCGATCCCGATCCCGATCCCGACTGGCAGCCGCCGCTCCCCATCCCCCTCCTGCCGCCGCACCGGCTCCGGGCGGCAGCGCCCCGGGGCGCCCCCCGGCCGCCCCCTGGCCGGGCTTGCGAGCAGCCCCTGAGCGGCGGAGCGGGGCTGTGTGGGCTCATCCCGGGGCAGAGCGGGCCCGGAGCGGACTACACTGGTCACTGCAAAAAAAAACTAAAAAGAAAACCAAAACAAAACAAACCCCAAACCAACTAAAACACCCCACACGGAAAAAAAAAAAAAAAAAAAAAAAAAAAAAAAAAGAAAAAAAGAAAAAAAAAAGGCAAAAAGCCCTCTCGGAGGAACTTCACGGAGCGAGGTTCAACTCGGGCAGCGCTCCCGCCTCGGCTGCGCGCAGAGCGCTCGGAGAGAAGGCGAACTTTCATTTTCACGCCGCATCCTCCCCTCCGCCCCAAGCTGCCACTGATCGTAAGATACCTGATGGCCGGGTTAGTGCTCCCAGCCGCCTTTCAGGGATGGGGAAGCCGAGTTGGAGGTTAGCGAGCTGCCGAAAGCCGCGGGGGGAAGGCAGGCTACAGTGCCGCCCGAGCCACTCGCAGCCTGCACTTGACTTGTGCCTCATGAAGGGTCCTTCCCCGGGAGCTCCGCGGACCCTGCCTCGGCTGGGAGACGCAGCGCATCCCTGCCAGCCGCTCCTCGAGCTTTCTGCCTTCAGTGTCCCGGGCTCTTTTTTACTAATCTGATGCACTTTTTAGAAAGGGAAAGGAAAGCAGGGGCCTCAGACCTGCAAACTGTTGTTCTCATGACTTAGGGGAAGATTTTTCAAAAGTACATAATGGGAGTCTGGGAGCTCTGTTCCCACTGACTTTCAAAATCTTCCCTTCACGTCTGTGAGCAAGTCCTCTTGAACTCGGTTGGACTGCTGGCAGACGAGCACTAGCAGGCTCAGGGCCTAATGCTTTTCATGATTCCACTTCTCCCTGCTAGAACTGCACTGACAAAATATAAAGAACAAGTTTTGAAAGGGAGAGGTAATTTCTCTCGCGCCTTTTTTTTTTTTTTTTTTTTTTTTTTTAACCACTGCTACAGTACAAAACACCAAGCTTTTGGGCTCAAAAAGCCTAGACCATCATGGCTACGAAAATAACTGCTGCTCAGAGAGTATGTAATTCTGGAGCTCCTTAAGGAAAAAAAGCAGTGCGATGCAACATGTAAGTAATCACACAGCTAATATTATGCATTTATGTTATTATATTTTCCTCTGAATTGAAGTTTGGTGCTGCTAAAGAAACTGATTCCTAATTTTTTAAAACCAGGTTCTCAATGAAAATGAGCCACATGGCAAAACTTCAGATCTTAAAGCCATTCTATTAAGAAGGAGGAAATATAAATTATTTGCAGTATCTTTACTTTTTGCTCTTTTATTAAAATTACTCTGAGCAAAATTTTTGAAAAGTATGCCTTTCAACTGAAAAGAATGATAGTACATATTTTCTATTTTTTTTTCCCTGAAGGTTATGTGCCTGTGAAGAGAAAACTTTGCAGTAGAAATAGCAGTGAAAACAGTAAAGAAAAATATAAAATTATGGTGTTGCTGATACCACTTCTCTGTGCTTAGATTATGTGTAGTTTTGCCCTAAAATAATTCTAGTTATTATTTTTCACCCATTTTTCCAACGCTAATATAAAAATAAGATGTAGAAAATATTCTGTCAATATTCTGTGATACACTGTTTCTGTGATACATGGTATTCTTTAATATGAATAGGACACTACTTTCAGATATCATGCCTAAGATTTCATTAAGATTTTTAATGAAAGGGAAATTTTTACATCCCCTAATATCTAGTACTCGCTCTCAGGTTCCATTCTTAATGCACATAGGCCCCAGTTCTGCGCAGACTGAAATCTGTATGATTATGTGTAAGCACACTGAGTAGTTCTCTTTCTTATTATGCTCTTGTGTTTCGGACTTACAAAGCTAATAGTGACATTACACAATCATTATTCTCAGAATTACTTAGGACTGCATGAAGTTTAAGCCTAATGTAATATTCTTAGTTTACACCTTCTATCCGTTTATCTTGAATAATGCACAATTACGATAATTTATGGATCAGAATGGGTAAATATTTAACTGAGAATTAGAACAAGTGAGAAAGGCAATTGCTGTAGTGTAAAAATCCGTGTAAGAGGAGGTGGCTATTGCATTCTTTAGCTGTAGCATCTGGGAGAGGATCATCAGTGTTTCCTCAGTGACTAGCCAAGCCAAAAAGTCACAGCAGGAACACAGCTGAGAACAGAAGGAAAAGAAAGGGATTTTGAGCCTCACCAAAAATAATGTCAACCTTTTAGATCAAATTTCCATCCCAAGGAAATTGGACTCATCAGACTGGTGGATGTCTTATCTGCTGTGGAAGCAGATATGAGGCTAAGCTGCAGTTTTTATAATCAACTCCTTTCTTCATGCAGTTCTCATTACAGCACGATCTGAAAACCTCCTCCTAGTGCCTGTCCTGTATTACAGGTTCTTCTCCTCAGAGAGTGCCATTAAATTGTCAGAGAATCTCCTCATACAGTAAGAAGTGACATGACCAGCATTTGTCATATTATCTGCTCTTTTGTTGCCAAGGGAAGGTGCATGTGCAATTGAATGTTTTCAGTTTATTGTATCTGTCTTTTCTTCCATACACATTATGTCTTTATGTTAGTGAGGTAAGGCTGAAGTAATATGTTTTGTTCTTCAAGCAAGGTGCAGTTAGATTTCTGATGGCCCTTAGTTCTTAGGCAGTTTCATTCATTAGACTTTCACCAACCCCGAGAAAGTTCTGTCTGTAGAACTTTCAGCTTTTTCTCCCAGTTCTTGCATAGGTCCTCTTATGTCAGAAGAGGGAAACTGTTGCCAACTGGATCAAGTCTAGAGACCTAGAAGGCACTTCTTTTAGGAATCCTGGGTTTATGCCCTGGAGAATCCCGAGCCCCCGAATTTGTGAATTAAATGTCTAGAGAAAATCAGTGTAAAGAAGGGCTTATAATAACTTACATTGCTAACATGACATCCCTCCCAACTTCCTGTACTTGGAATTTCCTATATGCAGTGGGCTTTGTGCTTGGATATACTGGATTGCTTAGATCTAGCTGAGAGGTGGCAAAACCAAAGCAAGGCACTTGTCTGCTGAAATGACACAGAAGCTCATAGATAGAGATGGTTAGAAAGCTGGAGGCTGTCTTCTGGCTCAGGCATGCATTGCTTTACAAATTACCTTGCTATGTGTTTTTAAGATTCATTTTACAACTGTGAGGATTAGAGGAATTTGTTGTAATGAAAACTGGCGTTGTGTCATTACTGTGTAACTTTTTAGTTAGATTATTTGGCTTGCCTGAGCTCTTGCACGTTATTCTATTTCATCTGGGAAGTTCCTAGGTAAGTTGGACCAATTGAGGGGCACTAAGGCACACCCACATGATTATAATAATTGCACACCTACATATTGTTTTGGTATTCAGTGTTTGTATTGTATATGGAATTGTAGCCAGTGAAAATTTGAAATTTTTTCCTACTTTTTTTTTTTCTAATTTCAGCCCTGCCTTGCCCCTGATGCTCATCCAGCCTTCTAGATCCTTGTTATAGGTTCATCTAAGCCTCCCTTCAGGTCTCCCCTGTAAATTTGATATCACTTGAAGTTTAAAGTGTCAGTTTAATAACCTAGTGACTGTAGTTGGGCATCCTCCTTCATGTGTGTTTTACTTTCTGCTATAGCCATTCAGTCTCTATTTTACCCTGACAAACAGGATTTGAAATTCGTTGCTTTTGCAATTTTAGTCTGCTTGCAATGATAGAGGTTGTAATCTAGAAAGGACTAAAGTGGACAGCATTTACTATTGTACAATGAAAACAGGGTTTTGAATTTGCCAGAATAAATCTGGTCTAAGGATGCTTCTATAGACTGCAAGGACTGCAAGAGGTATGTGCTGGCTTAGGACATGCATATACTTTATTAGATTTCCTATGAACTTCCACATGAAAAATACAATTAGCTTTTTTTCTTTTACCTCCTTATTTTTCAATAGCAAAACCATTTAGATATTTTTAAGCCACTAAAATACTCAATATAGCATAAAGACTAGTGGTGTAGTCATCAAAAGGTTTGGACTTCTATGTTTTGATAGCATCTTATAGTATTGACTCCTACATATATATAGGCCTGACTCATAATAACAAACTTATCGCTGAGGATTTAATAAAGGAGTTGGTATTAAACTTAGGTTCTGTGGTAAAGTTTTGTTTAAATGGTCTAACTTAAACATTTTAATATTTTTGTGGATTTAATGGTTATGAAAAGTTCTGTCTTGGTATCTGTGAAAACTGAAGCCCATTCTTTTATTCATGGATTCATTACAGCAGAACAGTGGCTAAGTGATCTTCTCCACAGCAGCCGTGAACTTCAACCTTGAACCGAAGAAGACCCATCAAATGGTGAGAAAAAAGTGTGGTTGTCATGACTATTAAGTTAGGGATGCTCTATTATTTTTTCCTGTTTAGCACTGATTATTTTATTTTATAGGTATTGAAGTTAGATTTTTGTCAGGTGATTTCTGGGACTGTAACCTAATTTTTCCTCCACATCCCATATTTCAGCTGTTAATTTTTCAAGCTTTGCTTTAGTCCTTGCTGTCCTTAACTTCAAAAATAATTGTTAGTGATACACTGAATTCATTAGTTAATTTATTTATCACTTTCTTTAGCCTTAGTCCTGTGCCTAACTCTGTCCACATGATTACTTTTATCAGTAGCACTACTTAGAAGAGTGAAGTTCAGGATATATGAAGCTGTTTGAAAGACTGAAGTTTAAATTTTACAGATGTGAATGCCTGCAACTAAATGAAATGCTGCTGAAATGAATGCAGGAGTGGGGGATCTGAAAGTGCTTTTAGCTAGTATTATTATTTGTTTTCTCTTTTGCACACAATTTTTTTCTTTTAAGACTGAAAGATGCAAGATGTTAATTTGCTTCTCTAATTTCCCAGTTTCTGGAAAATTTTGAACTCTGAACTTCACAACATTTATAAAGTTTTAGTAGTGTTCATAATTCTCCTGAGAAGAACAAAACATTATTTTGTTTAGCCATTTTGTGAAAAGGTGACTGAATATAGAGGAACTATTTCTCTTTTTATTTCGCTGCCTTGATCAGGTCTTTAATCCTAGTCATAAGAATCACTAGGTAACGATTTTTATATGTATGGGTTTATTAAGTATAGATCTTAAAACAATGAGTTTCCTTTGTTTTAGAGCTATAAATAAAGGATGTAATATTGGGAGCAGGGACTTGCTTGTGTAAGAATATAATTGTTAAGTGTTGTTGACTTCCTGATAATTTAGATAGGTGACAGTTTAAAATGACGGTGCACAGATTGATCCATAGCTCAGGAGATGGATCACAGTGACCAGAAGTTCGAAGAATGCTGAGAGATGCCCCAGACCTTTTTGGTATCTCAGCAAATCAATTTTTGTTTTCCTTTAGCAACCGTATTGTAGAATGAGGAGTAAAAGGGACAGAACCCTTTTAGTGGCTTATGATTTCCACAGTTTAAACCTCTTGGAATACGGGATATTTACCCTGTCTCAGCTGTTTACCAAACTGGGTTTGGAAGCACAAATATGTTTAAATAGCCAAGAGAGATGCTGAGCGCTTTATGCCACCATCTGAGCTATGCCCTGTGTTAAGAATTACTTTAGTACTGTTATCAACCACTAAACTTACTTAACCTTTGCCAAGGTTCTTCACCATTTCATGTTTTAAAAACAAGGTTTAATACTTAAACCAGAAAGAAGTTGCAGTTTTCAGGCACAGTGCATTGAGATGTAACCAAGTGGTCATTTATTTTTAATACAGATTCAACAATCATTTTCTTTGTTCTTTCTCAGCCATTTTTTCTTTAGTTTTCTTTTAGAGAGCTGATTCTTGAATTAATTTTGAGCATTCTCTTTATCAGTTGATATTGCATTAAAAATACTTGCATGAATGTGGGAGAGAAGAGTCTGAACCCACATTAGTCCCTTGCATCTTGTATTGACTTTGCCTATCTGTTAACCAATGGGCTGGATCCCGACCAGCACCAAAGTGTGAGTCTGAGTGTTACTAGGGTAAGGAGTTTTCAGTTTTGCATGTGTTTTTGATACCACAGACCTAGTGAAAGATAACATTAGGATGTAAATTGATTTCCACATTTAAGCCCTTCTTTAGTTGCTTAGCTGAGCAGAGTTTAGCTACTCCAAATGCTTAAAGTTAAATGGTTTTAAGGTTCTCTTGAGGCATTTTTTGAATTGATGTAATTCTTTCACTTCAACAGAAGAGGTAGGCCAATGTCAAACTGTTTTGAAAGGCTTTTTTTCATTACCCTGCTTAGAACATAACTTTGTTTCTTTTGTTCCATCCCCATTTGACTGAATCACTTTCACTTCCCTGACTCTTCTTATACCTTTTGTGTCCTACTAACCTTTCCTTTAATGTCCAGTTTTCTGTTAACTTTTCCACACTGATTATTCTTTGTCTCTCTTCTTTTTTTACTGGAGTTTTAGAGAGGTCATTATACTTTTTCAATTTCTTTCCTTCCTTCATCCTGGAATCCAGCAACATATAAACCCCTCTGATTTCAAGTTTGTCTTTTTAGTGAGAAATACACAAATTAAAAACACAAATTATAGTAGTGCTATATCAATAGAAAGGTAAACAGAGCTTTGTGGATTTTATTTATAGAAAAGGAACTGGGTTTTACATATTACTAAAAAGTATTCCCTAATTTTGGATATCAGGATCCAGGCAGTAAGATCAGGATTTTAAGGTGATGCTTTAAAAATCACTATGCTTATTCTAAAAAAAAACCAAACAAAAAACCAACCAACCCAACCAAAAAACCCACAAAAGTACAAGTATACTGAATAGACTGATTAGACTTGATGTGGCTGTTTTATTGAGCTGTCTATCACTGAACTTTTTTTAAGCCTTAAGAAAGACAGTATGGAGGTGGAAGAGAAGCATGGATCTCCATGAAGGGCAGTCAGTTATAGTCATGGTAAGTTAAAAAAAATACTGTATTTCTGTTAAATTTTCACCTTTACGAAGCAACCTGTGTTCAGGGCCCTGTTCACCTTGCAAAATTAATCCAGCTTTATTGAAGTCTCTACATTCTCTGGATTCATTTCTGCTATCACTGCATAACAATTGTGCTCTGTTGTATCTGACTTTGTGGTGTAACTCCTGAATGAAAACAATAACTGACATAAAAACCATTATTATCACAGTGATTATGCTACAGTTTTTTCATGCCTACATTCTGAGCAAAACAAGATATATAGGATTGTGTTATGACCTAATAGCTTTCAAATCCACTGCTTAATTTCGGCTGCATTTGATATAGAGGTAGAGGTCACAAAGTCAAGTTTCTGCAATTTGAATGAAATTTAGCAGCTGTGAGTAGAGACAGGACTCAAATTAGTGCCCCTGGGGTAGAAAAAGCTGTAGCATGGACTCAGAAATTTTCTGTTCTCTTCAACCTGTTGCCTTGCAGGTCAGCATGCTTGGTTGATCTGCCAGTCTACACATGTAGCTCAGACCTGGCCACAGTGTGAGCTGCCTCCTGTTCTCCTAAACGTCAGAAGCTGAAATTCAGAGAAATCTGTTTAGAAGGGAATGGGAAAACAGCCAGGCTAGCTTCGGCACAAGAGTGTTGGTGGCACCTGTAAGCATGCAGGTAGGTAACTAGACTTCATTGTTTCTGCTAGTCATGAAAACGCCTTGGTTTTGCCAGGGCCAAAACACTTGTGAATCTTTCCATGATATGGTGTTTTCTATACCCGGATTAAAAAAATGTTTTTCTTGTCCATGTCAGAGAAGGGAACTGCTGAGACAGCTTCAGTATTTAATTTCTTTGGCTATTTGTATGTTAGGTCTGAGCTATTTCTTAGGCTGTCAAAATTGTAAAACTGTGTTTTCAGGTCTCTCCAGAAACTGACTGTAATTTAGACTGCAGCTATGTGTCCCTGACCCATCCTACAACCTACTCTTTTGGAACAGTGCAGAAAATAAGCATTGTATTCCAATATACTTCCTTTGTGAAGAAAGATGTGGCACTAGATACAGGGAGACAAAACAGTATTAGGATCAGGCTTCATCAAGTCACCACACTGTACTGCAACTTGAGAAATGCTAAATATGTAGCTGTGTGATTTTGTCACCAAAATCATTCTGAAAGGTCTTTTCTGCTCATTCATCCTAGTAATGAGAAATGGGCAGATTACAATTGCCAGAAGTGCTGTGTCACTCACTGTACAGGCTCAGGTAGGCACACTAACTTGGCATATGTCTGATATTTTTAAATTTTCTGTGTTATGTTAGATAGGGGTCAAGATACAACACTCTTTAAACAGAATTTAGTGCTGCAGCATATTTAAAAGCAGTTGAATTTCTCAGAATAACAAGCCTAAGAGTCATGCATATGAAATGTAAAATTTGAAAGAAGTAACATGAGAAGAAACACTTCCAGTTCAGTATCATAAGGTAACTGTCTTGAAATGTCAAATTTTGTTTGCCCAGTCAAAAACCATCAACCTGGCAGCAAGGAACAAAAGCTTGTGATACTCTTTTCCACTTTCTGTTAATTTTCATGGGGTTTTTTTTCACAAAATCAAAGCCAAGAACAGAACAATTAGTCATTAAAAAAAAAACAAAAAACCCTCGAAAAAACTGCATTCCATTTTATGAATCTTTTGGGTTGTCAGATTCTCAAATCCTTTCATTTGGCCCCAGCTTTTTTGTTTATTTTGTTTTAAGTATTGTTGTTTCTGCAGAGCTATCTGTATTAAAGGAATGTAGAAATGGTTTTTTCATGTTTCCAGGATCTATTTGTTCTTAAAACCTTTATCACCAGTAGTCTTGCCTAGTGTCACCAGTTAAATATGTCACCAGTTTAATGTTACTTAATGGAACTATGGCTAACTGGATTTTAAATGGTTATACTATATAAAAATATTGTAATATATATCGTTTTCCTTTTAGCGATCAACCTAGATGTGTTTTTAATAAGAAGAGTAAAATGAAATAATGGATGTTAAGTTTTGTGTGAACAGCAAAGTGGTGGTGTGTTGTTTAACACCATGTTGTGTGCTTCCTCTGTTCTAAATGGTGTTCACAAAGTCTTGAAACTTAGCAAAGTTTATCATAAGGATTATTTGTTTTAAAAAGCTACCACTTTTTGGTCTAAAAATTACTAATTCTGAACTGCTTTTCATTATGTATTTTTGAAGACTTCAGTCGTGGATGCTACTATATGTAGTCAGATACTTTCACAGTCATGAAGACCTCAATAAATTCACAGTCCTATGCTGCAGCCCTAAAATGGATGTTGTGGGACAGATTTTTAAGAAGGTTGAAGCACTAAAAAGTGACTTGCACAATAGACCTAAGAAACTAGGATAATTAATTTTTAGAAAGTGATAATTAAAAAATTATATTTCAAGTAATATCAGTAAAAGCTTTCATAATGTGCTGTCACTACATGTAAAATTCATAAGCAATTTTAAGCCAACATTCTTTAAAGAAGGAGCTAAAAATTCCTATAAAAATATGCAACTTAAAGATGTATGGAACTCCTTTATTATGTGCTAAATGCTGTAATAAAACAGGCTATCAGTAGGTTTTGCTGCATGTTACTAATTTTATTTTTTTTTAATCTTGGTATTTTTGCAGGTGTGTGGAGGAACAGGTCCTGTTCTCGCTGTTGTTACTCCCACATAGGCAGACTCTGTAATTGATTATGTGTGGGTAGGGCCCTATTGAAATTCAGGAGATTCTGCAGTAGTGCGGGGTTCTTTTTGTGAAAGTTCAGTTGCAAGATCAGGACCCTACTGTGACTCCTTACTGTGCATTCTGTCACTGTCTCATTGATTGTACTGGAACCTGCTTATTGAGATAATGTAAGTCCTGCTTTTCCCCCACTTGTACTTTGGATGTGAATTAATCATAAAACGTTTCTAATTAGAAAATTAGTATAATTTACATGCATTCTTTTAATTATGTTTTTTTGGCAGTACCAAATACTATATTCCTCAAAACTTCTTAATGGCACTGAGGCTTTGTGGATAGTTGGTCACATGATGAGAAAATTCAGCTGTAAGTACATTGAAATGATTGACTCTTTCAATAGTTAGTCTTTACTGATGTTGGCAAGCTAATAGTGATAAAAATGTGAATCAAGAGGTTTGACTTATGTCAAATTATTTCAGTTCTTTTTAGAAAATATACACAGTATACCCGTTAAGGATTTTATTATTCTTAGGTAATTCACCATGGGACCCTGAAGTTATTCCCTACTGCAATTAGGTAGGGAGTTCAGAGTTGTTTGTTTTCTTTATTTTCAGAATGGTGTGTCTCTGACTTGCTCTGTGTTTTGACGGATAAACTTTTTGAAGTTTATAGATCTATAAAAACTGTTTATACCACTAATATCTGTATAGATATTGCAAACTGATTTACTAACATAATTGTCTTGCTCGGTTGAATACTGAAATGTTAATAAATATACACTTACATTTGTGTCAGTGTACCTTGGTTAAATTAAACTGAGCTGGCATTATGAGTGAATTTGATCATACATGCTGATTAGCTATAGTCTTAGGCAGGAACTACATATTACCCATATCATATGTCAGTGGATTCACCCAAAAATAGCTATAAATATCTGTGCTTGGGTTAAGGAGGAAGTTCTTTTCCTGTAGTTATGGGTACAGTCATTGCTTTGACTCCTGTTTTTATATACAAATGAGCAAAATCTACATGTAGGTGTTTTCCCTGTATAACAAAAGGGGCACTGTAAACTCTGTGCCCTTTTTAATGATGTTGTATTTCCTTTCTGGTATTTAAATTCAAGGATGTTTTCAGCTGTGTCTTAATACAAAAAAAAAAAAAAAAAAAACAAGGAAGAACTGGAAATGTTACTGAATTTGTGGATAATTACTATGGGGCTGTAAAGGTCTGGAGGAATTGTGTGTAAGGACAATTAGAGATTCTTTCTCATGAAGCAAGGACACAAATTATAATTGATGAGTAAAAGTTAAGGAGGACAGGATTATTTTTATTGCTTGGAACAAGAGCAGCATGAAATGAAGGTAATTTGAAGAAAGAGCAAGAGCAAAAGAGAAATCAGACTCAGATCAGAGAAATCAGACTAGAGAGTCCAGTTAAAAAAAACCCAACAAACCAACAAACAACAAAACCCCCCAAAACAAAACCAAAATACTTAATATGGGTTTGAAAAATATACCTGAGAGGAGAACTAAATGGATAGCTACTGGTATTTTTCATTGCACTGAATGTTTGTTAGATTTCAGTTTAAAATTTTCAGTAAATGCTTTTCTTGAAGTTTTTGGTTTTCTTCGGCTGGAGAGGAGTAGAAGAACTTTGGAGTGTTAAAGAAGACTCAGTGGCTACTTGTGAATTACAGTACGAATTGGGGATTCAAGATGACAGTTCTAAGAAGAGAAGACAATGGGTTGCTATATAAAATTAGTGCCAAGCAGAAGCCATAATTTCTTGTTCAAACACAAAACTTAATGACTTTGAAATGTATCACCTTCAACAGCGCTCAAACCACAATTTTATTATGTTAATTACGGCATGAGTATTTTCAGTGTTCTCATTTAAAAACTTGAACACTTAATCTTTTGAGATTTTGCAATATAAAATGAAATTGAGATTTTTCAATATGAAATGAAATCATGATTTCATTTCAGAAACTGAAATGTTTCAGAACACTGAGTGTTTCATTTTGCATAAAAAATCCCGATCAGCTTATTTTGTTTTTAAAATGTTTAGACCTAATTGTTTGCTGTTTTCACCTTTTAATCCTATTGGCCATATATCTATTTTACTTGCAGTAAGTTGGGTGAAAGAAAGGAAAACAGAATTAGATTAGGTGATTTCAAAAAAAACCCCTAAAGACAGCCTTCTAACTGAGCCTCTAGATGAGAAGTGCCTCAAAACAGATGTAATTTCAGAGGAGGAAAGGAAGAAAAGTGACATGTCAGTGAGTGGGGTATGGGGAATCCTCTGCATGTTTCATCTCTGTCTGATTTTTTTCTCTCATCACCACTGAGAGACAGATCACCTGGGTGTGACTGCTTCCCCTTCCTGTGACTGCAACTTCCCAGTACTTTGAGGGAGATAATGTTGGGGCATAGTTCTGTTCTGCCTGCAGCAGTGCTGCCACAAATGTTCAGAAGAAAAGGAGCTCTGAATTGCCTCCTGCTGTAATCAGCTCTCCAATACTCACTGCTGCTTAGCCCTGTTGTTGAGTACCTGATCTGATGGTCTCTTTCATAATACTGTAAGTGACGGAAATGAAACCAGGACCAAAGCAAGAAAACAGATATCAAGAGAAGGAGATAATGTTTTGGATCAAGAGAAGGAGATGATGTTTTGGAATGTAGGGAGTGGGCATTTGCTGCACAGCTACACTTTTTCAGCTCTTGAGAAGACCTCAAGAGCTGAAATACCAAACTACTGCAACAGAGTAAGTTTCCTTCTGTGCACTGAGAAGGAAGGGCAAAAGAATGTGCCTGAACATTCAGCATGTTATTTGTAAGTCTTGAGGTCTCTTCCCCTACTGCTGTTTGCACTCTGCTTGTATCGTGACTGTCCTGAATGTAACATGTCTTTATTTGTATCGAATGAGGCACTCCTCACATTGTAATGTCAGGAATATTGTTTTTCTTCCACCCTTGAAAGTCAAAACATGGTAGCATAGATAGTTGTAACAAGTTAGTAATAAATGTGACATGAAAGAATTTTCTCATTCACAGTACTTGTAGGAAAAACAATGTTTTATGTGTTTCAGATACCTCTTATTTTCCAATCCTAAGCAGATTTAATGCATGAAAATTTTCTTCAGCAATGCCCTCTGTTTCTTATTCGCAGTTACAACTATTACTCTTTTGTTAGTAGGTTTTCTTGTACTTACGTTGATGCCCTCACAAAACTTCTCTGGACCCTTTATGAATGACACCATCATGGTGTCATTTGTTTTGTCATAAAATCTACTGTAAACCGGCATTTTAGGAATCTTTTTCCAATCCTTAAATGATGATTATTCTTCTCTGTCAGCAGGTTTTTCATGGATCAAGTCTTTATTAGAAATTTTTTTACTTTGCCTTGACAAAATGCAGCCTTGCCTTGCTCATTAGCTATCAAAGTGCTGCTCTACATTTTCCAAACCTACTCCTTTGCTATTTTCAATTTCCTGCTCAATTTTAAAGCAATAAAGATAAGCTATCTGTCTTTATTTTCAAGGCTCATCAGGACTACTTCTACCTGATACCTCTTCTTCAGTATCAAGAGGTTGACTCTGGTTTTGATCAACGTATGATGCCAACTTCCATCATTTGGTCATTAAAGTTTCAGACCACACTGAATATTTTCTCCTCAGCTGTATGGTTGACTTCTTCATAAACAGAAGTGTTCATTATCTTCCCTCTATTTTTTTCTTGAAAGTTTTACGTACTGTGAAGCTTTAAGAAATCCAACTAGACAACAGTTATGCTGCAGGTGTATTAATGCCAATGCCTATCACAGTAATACTGTGTCATTGCATTTGGATTCTGCCATAATCCCTCTGTTGTCTCTTTATGTAAAATTTAAGCATATCTATATTTTGTTGTGTATTTATTAATGGCCCAGTGTAACACAAAGTGGCCCATGGTGAGACCTTCCAAGATTTATGGTAGTACAGATAAATAACAATGAATACACACTGGCTGTTGCAGCATAGCTGTTGGAGTCTGTTGTGCCTAATGCCACTTCATAATTTAATGCAGAAAGAAGGTGCTCCAACCAGAGGCCTCACAAACGGAAAATAAGTTAGTTGCACCCAATAGAAAAAATGCTAGCCCCAGAGACCTTGTCAGCTGTCAAACTCAAGCCTGTAGCTATTGCCATTTTGTCCTGAAAGCATTCCTCTCCTCTCCTCTCCTCTCCTCTCCTCTCCTCTCCTCTCCTCTCCTCTCCTCTCCTCGAACAGATTCTCCCTTCTCATATGAGGAAGTAAATGCAAGTATCACAAAGGTCTGCAGTGTGTGCAGAAGGTCTTATACATTTGTAGCAGACCTCATGTATTTAATTCCTGACACAGCATCTCTTGGTACAGAAATCTTGAATAACCATAACTGTGCCATTCGTCACTCCTTTTTTTCAAATGCCATTTGATCTCTGTTGGGAAGGAACCTACACTGGTTTTTATTTGGTATCTTGGCACATCCCTATCTCATAATGCTCTGCTTCCATTGTGCTTCAAAAGTAGAGTCTTCAGAAAAGTGGTAAGGATTAATTCAATTGGGAATTCCCCAGGTATGTCACCCTCTTTCTGTAAGTGGGTCTGCATGTAACCCTTTCTTTTAAAGGCACACTGAAATGTCAGTGTTTAGATTGTACAGAGCTGATGGAATGTTGAGTGCCTGACTGATTGCAGAGATGGTAGATTGGACTGTGCAGACAAATGTTGCAGTAGGTACCAAAGAAAATATAGTCCAATAATCTAATTTTATCAGAATAAACCACAAAATGTAGTTCTATATGGTTCTATGGCTGAGTAGGAGAACTTTAGTAAGAGCTGTGGGCTAGTTGGTGAGGTGGAGGTGAAATACTGTGGGAGGCTGGGGAGTCTGTACAACCCAAAAGCTTGATCATAGCAACAGTTCTTGGTTATATATGTGTAGACTGGATAAACTTAATGTTAGGCCTCATTAGGCTGTCATGCACAGGCTGTGTATTTAGATATCACTGAGCAGTAATTATTGAACAAACAAGATAGGGAATCCAGAGCCCTTGACTTAGTCTAGATCAACATGCAACAAATGACTGTGGAAGAACCATTCACTAGTGAGATATCATACTCAAGTGTGTCGTACTTGTGGGAGAAAAAAAGATTAAAATAAAAAATTTTAAAAGTCCAGTATTGTTTAAAAAAAGAATTGTACACTAATGAAGACACACTTTAAATAAATATTAAAAATACATGGGGGCTTTGTTTTCTGGTTCTAACCCGATTAAATAAGACTTTTCCAACACAGTTCAGCAGTAAAAGAAGCTACTAGAAATAAATAGAGGTTTTTAAAAAAGCAAAATCCAAGCAAGCAAAGCAGAAAAGAGCACAATTCTGGCAAGTGTAGACCTAGTATGAGGCAGAAGAAAAAGATTTTTAAATGCAATGGCCTAAAATTCTAAAAGCCAAACCCCATCTTTTTCCAGTGTAAATTTTGCTAGATGAGAGGTGAGGTTAGTAGATAGTTGTGGTTAAGGAGAAAGACAAAGCCATTACAGAAAGAAATTGAACTCATTTCTGCTGGCAAGGTTTATGACAGGATGATTAGGGACATCCCCAAATAGGAGTTGTTTTTATAGGGAGTAGTTCAGAATTGATATCTCAATACAAGGTTTTTAAACAAATTGATTGAGTACACATTAATAAATTGCCCAATAACATGCTGTTCATTCAGTAGTCCTAGAAAAATTCAGAAATTAAATTGAGCATGGTGAGCAAACCATGAACTGTCTTGTGTAATCTGGTACTTAAATTAGCCTTGATAACAGAGGAATGGAAAGTAACAAATGTGACCCTAGTTTTGAAAAGGGTTTTAGGGATGGTCATGGACTAATGGACTAAAAAGTCAGGCCATCATGACAGACAAAATGGCAGTGATTGTGATAAAGTGTACTGTTTATAGGATGAATGGTGAACATGGATAGGTGTGATAGCAACCATCATGCCTTTTGTACAAGTAGTTTTGTCTTAGAGTTTTTCTAGTTATTTGAAAGAGTCATTTCCAGATGCACAGGAAAAAGTGACCCAAAAGTTTTTTAAAAGTTCTGTAACTGAAGACTGTTAACAAAATGAAGTAGGGAGTCACTTAAAATTCTTTGTAGATTAGTCAAGGGTTAGAAGATAAGGAACAGTACAGAACTAATGGGGAGTTTTAACACTACCTCCTCATGGAGATTTGTACTGGCACCTTTGCTGGTCCACCTGTTCCTAAACAGCCTGGAAAAGTGCAATTGTAAATATTGCAGATGGTAAAAGGAAAATATTCACGGTTGGAGGCAGACCTAATGTTGACCCTGAAGAGCTGCAGAAGGATCTCACAGCAGGACCTGTGGTGATCCAGGAGCTGTGGCTGTCACAGTGGCCAGATATCGCTGACCCCACTGTTCAGCTGAATCCATCATCAGAGAGTGGCAGTGGCTGTTGGATTACAGCAGCCATCAGCCCATAAACCGTGAGCTCAGCAGGCTGTGACCAGTCCTGCCACTCAGGAAGGCAGGGACTTGTAGCTGTTCTTTTTAACAGCAGGGGCTGCAAAATGGAGAGAAGGTTCTTTCTCCCTGTTTTCTCAGAGTTTCATAACCCCAGTGAGCTTAAAGTATGTGTTTTGAACTTGGAGTTCCTGCCTGCTACAAGGTTGAAATATTACTGTTAAAGTGATAGGTAATGTCTTGCTGCTGCTCTGAGAAGCCAGGGCTCTCAAGCCACTTTACTGGTGTTTGCATGGATTTTTAGCAGCTTCTGTTAATTTCTTAAAATCATTCTGGATCTGTAAATAAGTTTATTGTCCTCATTGATTGATGATAAATTTTTAAACATTAATCAAGTGCATACAGTTCCCATTTACTTAAATCTGTAGATGTTTTTTTATTGTTCCTTTTTCTAGCAGTAGCAATATTATGGATGTGCAGCTCAGTTTTACTTCTACTGTTCACAAACCTGTGGGCAATGGCAAATGCCAGTTTGCTGCTGCTTCAGAAGCTAAAAGCAGGCCCTAAAATGAATCCCATGGGAAATCAGATAAAGAAGCAGAAATATTTCATGCAGCAACCAGAAGGTCTGGAGGGAGGGATGGAGCAGAAGATATCATTGTACCTTTGCAACAGCTGGAATGGTTTCCAAGCTGTTGTCTGCAAATCCCTAGTGGACTCCAAGGCTATGGTGAATTGAACATCTGTTTGGCTAAACCATAACTGTGCTTTAAATAGTGTTTCCAATTAAAAGTTTGATCAGATGGGTGTGTGGTGGCTTTTGAAAATTGCTGAGGACTGATAGTGATCTGTTGCTCAAAACAAAGTGGGAACTGATGTTCTGGAGTGTATGAAAAATTAGAGAGCACTCCCTACCTTCTCAGTTTTAGGTACATGGCATTCTCACAAGAAGCAACAGCAAGAGGTGCCCTTTCTGGTGCCCATCACACCTTCCCCAGTAACAGAAGTATGGGGTTCTGAATCATCGTATTGTCCTTGAGTATCCCTGAAATTCTTCACTAGTCCTACTTTTCATATGTATTCCCAAACAGTAGGTTTCATTTTCTGGTAAGTAAGTATGATTTTTTAAGTCTTGGGTCCTCATCTGACAAAAAATAGACTTGTCACCTCCTCTAGACTACAACATATATCCTGCTTAAAATTAAAGCCTGATTTCTCATTGCCAGAAAAACAGATTTTAGAATTTTCCATTCTGTCATTATTAATGGGCATAAACTTTCCTTACAATTACTAGCATGTCTTATTACCCATTTGTTACTTTTTCAAAATACCAGTTGTATTTGACCAGCTTCTTTTATTTCCCTGAAGGATAATTTTACATTGTAAAAAGCTCCTTTGTCCTCATATCATGACTCTTATTACTTTTTTCTTACTATTGAAAATTTTCCAGCATTATAAAATATTTATATTATCAGTGTTTTTACTTGCCCTTGACACAGTTTACTTCCCATTGTCCTGAGTACCATACAAGCACATCCATAAGTAATTTGCAGAGATGTTAGCTTTTCCAGCCTTCTGTGCATATTTTTGTTAGGAATTGTGGTAATGTCAAGTTTGAGGTACACTAAACTATAAGCTCTATTCAAGCGGTATAAATATGTTTATCTTAAAAAAAATCTTAAAGAAATAATTTTTCTGATCTAAAATCATGTAATGTATGAAATTTAAACAAAATGCTAGAAACAAATACTGACAATAGTTTTTGTAAAAGGATAAAGTAAGTTGACAGGTGCTCTATTTAACCTTTTTATTTTCTATTTTTCTTACTCATGTCTTTTGATACAAATGTGGAAATAAGGGGAGCTGTGCTTGTTTTTATGTTATCTTGCTAGCTTACATGATTCTGCTATTGTCTTTGGTCAGGCTTGAGCTACAAGCTGAATATGAGACTGAGGGGAATCTTTGCCTTGTATCAGAAAGCAGCTTGTAAGGAAGCTATACTGTGGGAAAAGGTGGTTTCCTGAGTTTACCTGTGAGCAACAGGACAGAGGGATTCATGAGTCCTGGCAAGGCATATGGGTATAGAAGCAGTGATGGGGTATATGGTTAGGTCTGAGGATAAGTGCATAAAATGGAGAATTTGGAAGAGGTATCAGAGAAGGGGTTTCAATAAGAGTTGGAAAGATCACAGTTGGATAAATAAACTGGGCTCTGTTGAAAGTCACTTTACTAGAGAATATGGCTGCACCTCTCTATCTGACTCGAGCTCATGCCACACTTGTCCTAGCTACACCCTTACCTGTCTTCAGGTAAGGAAGGAACCTCAGCTTCTTCTCCAGTTTCTACACATGACCCTTTTAAGTGGAAAAACCTACTTTCCTGCTTACTCCAGGAACAATTACATGCAAAGGTACAAAATGGTCCTATAAATCTTTTACATCTAAAGCTTGTCTTCTGCCCCACTATACTTTCTTCAGCCTCGTGTCTGTGGAGTTCTGCACTGCAGATGCAGATGGACAAAGGAATCACAGAACAGAATTATTTAGATTGGAAAAGGCCCTTAAGATTGCCAAGTTAACTATAAAGCTAACAGTAAAAGTCCACCACTAAACTGTGTCCCTAAGTGCTGTATCCACATGTCTTTGAAATGCCCTGGAGAGCCTCTTCTAATGCTTAACAACCCTCTCAGTGAAGAAATGTTTCCTAATATCCAATCTAAACCTTCTCTGGAACAACCTGAGGCCATTTCTTCTTATTCTGTCATTGGTTACTACCTGGGAGACGAGACCAGCCCCCACCTGGCTCCACCCTCCTTTCGGGCAGTTCTAGAGTGCGATAAAGTCTCCCCTGAGCCTCCTTTTCTCCAGACTGAACAACCTCAGCTCCCTCAGCTCCTTCTCATAGGACTGGAGATCCAGACCCTTCCCCAGCTCCGCTGCCCTTCTCTGATGCTCCAGCATGTCCATGTCCTTCTTGTCGCGAGGAGCCCCAGACTGAGCACAGTACTGCAGCATGGCCTCACCAGTGAATACAAAATGATTCAAATGAGATGCTGTGGAAAGCTGGCTGCACAATGGTAATGCTTCTCCTTTACAATGCACAGTTGGCATCTTCTCCAAATGGGACGTGTCCCATCTTTTGAAATCTGCAATTCATTTATTCCTTTTTCCCCTTCCTATATAACTCATAAGAACATGATGGAGTTTTTCCACATGATGAATTATGACTTTTAGATAGTGTTTGTCTTACTAAACAGTGGGGAAAAAGTCTTGAATTTCTAAAGCCTGGTCTCTTTGATTTGCATTTTTCTGTGATCTATGATCTTCCTAACAATAAATTAATCCAGTGGATTATTACACCTACTGGTGTTAAATTGAAGCTTATGGACAGTGGGACTACTTTTCATAATTATTATTTCGCAAATCCCTAAAAAGTTGTTCATGAAGACTAAAGAGTCTGCAGAAAGACTGAAAGCAATGTAATAGGACATCCCCTTAAATGAAAAGTTTTTTTTTAAATGCAATAGGGTTTTTTTGGCACTGGTCTTTTCATAAGTCTTCAGCTTTTATTTAACAGTTTTCCTTCTCAATATTGATTATGATTGCATACTGATGCCTATGACTAAACTTAGCTAACAAGATACATGATTTCTGCTCAAGTTTGGAACTCAGTAATTAATAATCCTGTCAGCACATGACTATACAAATAGATTATGTACCAAGATCACCACAACAATAGTTTTAAAAAAAGCACTTTTGGGGTGGGGGATGTTGGTTGGTTTGGGTTTTTTTCTAAGAGGGTACATTATTTTAAAAGGAAACTATTTTTGTGTTTCTCTCTTGGATTTCTATACTGGATATAGATATCATTCTTTTAGTTAGTCAACATTGGTCCCTAAAAATTTGCTTTACTTTTACGGTTTGTCGTATGTTATTTTATCTTTAAAGACTGCCGGAGTTCATGATTCCTGAGAAGTAACACCTTGAAGTTCTGGCACTATCTTCTACAAAGTAACTTACACTGAGCTGGCTTCCTGTTACTGTGTCAATGAAACATCAAATGTTGATACTATGTGTGAAACAACATAGTATCATTGATATTATGGCTGTTAAGCTCCTTGAAAAAATACTATACAGATGGATTTTGTGTTTACAAGACCTGGCATTTAAAAATCTATGTCATGGATGCAGGTAATAAATGTTGTTTATTAATTGTTACAGGATAGAAAATACTTATATTTGTGTACAAGATGGCAGTCTTAGCTCTTGCTATTTTTATCTCCTAAATATCTAATAATAAGGTGGTTATAAATATTTAAAGACATGAATCATTTAATTTGTTGAAGCATTGTGTGCATCATTTAGAATGGCACTATAGGAGAGAAGTGGACATGTCCTTCTCATAACAGCTAAACATGAAAAGAAGGTAGCAGAGATAATGATATTGTTCAAATTTATAGAAATAGTTATGTTTTGCTGTATGAGCATAGCTCTTTACAGAATGATGATCTCATCCTAAGGTTACAGTTGTCTAAATAGATTCATTGCTGAACTTTATTCTAGTCTTTGCTGGAAGTAAGAACACAAACACTTGAAATTTAAGTTATTGATCTTTATCCATGCTACAACTTTCAGAACTTGATATTTAACCCCAGGATTGGATCCATAGCTCTTTTAAATTCTGGAATTCCAGAAACTGTGCAGGTGAGTAGGAAAAGGCAAAGGAAGAAACTGAAATGGGGAGAAGGAAATTTTTCTCCTTTACAGAAGGAAAGATTAAAAAAAACTTAATGAGCATAGAAGAAATAATAGTATTAGAGGAAGGAGCCAGGTGAGTATGTCCAGTAATATTTTTTATATAGTGCTCAGATATGTTGTGTTTTGTGTTTACATGGAAAACAGAGTGAGACTTCAGCTTTCTAACTGCTGTTCTAAGCTGTACTTTACTCCCTGTGCATTTTTATTTTAGCACAGTCACTTCTAAGGAAGGCTTTAAATTGACTTTCAGGGCCAACCTGAATCACAAAATTCATTATCCTGCTGAAATGATGACTACCCCAATGTTTGTCTTCCCAAGTTAGTCTTAAAAAACCCACTAGTACACATGAAAAAAATCAAAATAATTTTTAAAATATACGTTTCTGTTAATTCTAGTCACTAGCATTTGTGAAAAGGCACAAGCAGGCACGCAGTAATAGTAAAGAGTGTCAGAATTTCTGTGTAAAACTTAATTGTAATAGTACCGAAATTGAAAATAAAACCCACTAATTAGCTGTTACTCATCAGGATTAGGCAAAGTCAATCAATTCATAACCAAATGTAGCTGTAGAACAATGGAATACTTACATTGGCACTCATTATAGGTTAGACATCAGTGTAGATTTCATCCATAAGCTGTAATAAAATAAAATAAATTAGGAAATTGCAAAAAAAAGTTTCATTCAGTAACTTATTCATGGATGTGCTTAGTTTCTGCATGATTCCCATAAGTATATATAGTATTATAGCAAGAGTATATGTTTAGGGAAAGCCTATCCTTTTTAAACAAAGCAATTAACAAATATTCATACAGTGACTATAACTGGTCTTCATGAATTACTATGCAAAAATCCATTTAACTACAGAGATAAGGATCTCCCATTTTCGTACATTCACTCAGTGGTACACATAAAACATTTTAACTGTTCACCTGAGCAATACATTGGTGTAACTGAGCCCTGAGCTGATGTATGGCAGAATAACACCCTGTCTAAAAGGGGACAGAGTGAAAATGGGTGGGGCAGAGAGAGGTCTTATGGTGCCAGTTCACAATTAACTTTGGAATAGTAACATCTGCTTTTTGGAATGTAGTGTATTAATTTCTGCTGATAGAGATAGATCAGCATAAAAACTATGCTATAAATTGCTGTGTGATAGGGTTCCCATTCCTATGCCATGTCTGTGTCACGGGGCACCCAGTTTTTAAGGGCACCCAGTAAAGATATGAATGCAGAAAAGCATAACTGTACTTTTCATTCTAAAAAGAAAATTAAATTAAATGCAGATAAAATTTTTAGAAGTTCTAAATAAGAGACTTTTTGGTCTATTTTATGGCTAAGCCCTTGCTGTTATGTTGTTTTGCATTGATGTTACATTATTGAATGCTGGGTGATTCTAGAATGGTTTAGGTCATGTAAATTGTGCAAAATCCCATTTCAAGTATGTTTAGATTTTAAAGTTGTCTCTTTAATTACATTGTAACTGGCAGCTCTGTGTTGTCCTCATGTAATAGGCAGTATCTAGATGACTATGTTCTGAAATAATTATTAGTGGAAGAGCACTCCAGTCCCAGGACTATGTCCCTCAGACTTTCCATATTGACAAGGAAGTGCCAACGATGAGCTGTCCCTTTGGTGTCTTCCAGCCCCCAGATCACTGCTCAGGAGGAAAGCTCACTTTCCCGTCCCCTTCTCTGATTATTTATGCTTTGGTACTGCTGTTCTGTAAGCACACAGTCTTGGCTTTGCCTCTGGGCTGGCAAGCTGGTGAAGGTAGTATGAAGAGGTTGTTTCCACAGACCAGTTCCACACTGAATTTTCCTGCACCGACTGGGCTGTATACCAACTTTAAAACCAGTCTTTCACCCATGGCTCTTTTATTTAATTATAGTTAGTTTAAAATAACCATTGTAATACATCTCCATGACCATGACATTGGATTTCAGCATTTTTTCACAGCAGTATTTACTGTATTTAGTAACAAATTACTGAAATATCAGCCGTACTATTTTAAGTATCAGTTAAATATGATATTTAATTAATTGTGTCTTAAATTTTGGAATAGAGGATCCCAGTGATATTAAGCTTAAATTTTTATTTACAGCAGATAAACTTAAAGCCCAGTGGTATATAATTAGTTCTAGCAGAAAAACAAACTTCCTTTTATTTGGGTCAGACTTCATTTTTGTGCTCAGTGTAGTTCACACAAGTACTGTTTGGTAGGAAAAAATATTTTGCAGCACAAACCTATTACATGGTCTGTGCAGATGAAAATCATTAGTAAATTTTCTTTGTTCAGATTAGAGGAAGTTGAAAATATGCTGAATCACTTATTATTTTAATCCAGATGTTGTTATCCATAAATATTAATCTTGAAGATAAAATGCTAGCTTCATAAATACCTAGTGAACTTCACAAAATTAATTACATTTCAAATATGTGATTCAGAGTCTAAGATTCAGATCTTAGGATGGGATGAATCGCCCTCTGGAGGTGCCCATTTTAGTTTGCTGACTTCACAGGAATCCTGCTTTGAACTGACTAGTTCAAACTAAAAGTTAAGTGACTGGCCCGTCACCTTCATTGAGAAATAACTGAGCATGTCATACCGCAGTAGATTTTGTCGTTAGACCACTCTAAGAATGGCTGCCTTATTCCTCACCTTTTCTGTCAGTGTTCTTGTACTGTTTCTAATATGAATAAACACGATTGTTGCTGTTGCCATTTCCTGTGTATTGTTTTTTCCTGTCCTTTTCCTTTTCAATCTTATCTTATCTTTCCCTGGTTTTTTTTCTTGGTTTTTTTTTTTTTTTTTCCTGACTCTTTACAGCTGCCATCCTTTCTGAAGCTTTTCACTTGCTACTTCTCTGACAATCCTACTTTCCATGTTGAAAGTATTGTCCTAACTTGTGATGTGGAAGATTGCTGGCCCTTCCTTTGATGCTGATACCAGTATTTTCTTGACTGATAGTATTGTAATGAAGACATAGAAAAAGAAGACTATGGCACTCACGAATTCTTTTATGGTCTGAGTAGTCAAAAAATATTGTTCTTCTGCCTTCATATAAAATGTGTTGGTTTCCCAATGTAATTGTAACTTTAAAATGTTTGTAGAAATGTAAAATTAAATGTGAAGAGTATAAAATCCATATTAAAGACATAAAAATTTAATAAAATACAGCATTAGTCTTTATTTTAACAACTGAGTCCTACATGGCTCATTTGCAAAATGTGGGGTAGACTTATAAAGCTGCGTGCTGGTAAAGTCCGACTTACTAAAAGGTGAAATTTCTTTTTCTGTTCAGTAATTATTAAAAGGTCAATTTATTTTGTTTCTCCCTCTGGTTATATTTTCTTGTTATACCTGTTAAAGATCTCTCCTTCTCTTGAGTTCTGTCTTCTCCCTTTTTTTTTAGTTCCTTTTGTTAACCTAAGTTTGTGGTTCCTTTCTACCTGGTCTCTCCTAACTCTTTTTGTCCAATACTGATCCCTTTTTTTCTCATATGTTTGCATTCATTTGCCTAAAATGTTGCCTTGAGCATGCTCATATATACCCAAGAACATATTTACTTCTAAATTCTGGATGGATCTGCTATTTTAGAACTTCCAGTAAAGCAGAGAAGAAAGTTAACAATTCATAACAGCGTTTTAGGGGTTTTTATGATACATATGCGTTCAGAGGATCAAAGTACCTTTCTTCCTACATCAATGGAATAGTAACTATAGACAGAGATAAACATTCCTGTAAAAATAAAGACTTATGGTACTTGTTCAATATAGGAATGCTAACTTAAAAAGAGCATGAATGAAACCATGCTGTGTTCATAAATGGTATGGCAAATGTTTTCAGTTTTGTTTGCATATAAAGAAAAATGCTATTGGTAAGAGTGCTTTGTACTGATAGCAAAATAAAGAGATAGAATTTTTTGAAAAAGACAACCAAAAGGTATACAAGGCATAAAATCAGGAGAATTTTTGAAAATCATGCTCTACTGTAGCAGAAATACTGACTTAATGTTTTTTATAGGATAGATACCTACGTATTTTATTAGGTATACGAAATGTTCTTTAGATAATCTAAATTATTTGGATTGCAGTAAAATGAATGCCATGATAGAGCATAAACAGTGATGTTCAGAACTTTTGCTTTATATGTGTAAAATATTATTCTGTAGCCTCTTCTGATACCTACAATAATAGGCAAAAATAATGGCGCTAAAAATAGCAATATATTAGAAAATTATTGGAGGTGTGAGTGAGAGTCATTTATGGTGCCCAGAAGTTTTTAACTACAGTAGTTACCTGCAGGACATTGCATAATTTGGAGGCCATTAACAAAACACCTTTGCCAGATTGTACTGAGCATGAGGAGGACATTACAGAAAGCAGAGGAAATTCGGAATCTCTAAAATAGTTACACCAATGAGGAGTCTGTGTTGAACAGTAGAAGCAGTAAGTTTTTGCTAAAATTAAGTTGCATTGACTGCAACTAAGTTTATAATGAAAAACTGTATGAAAATCATCCATAGAAAGCCAAAGAATATTAAAACCCATGTAAAACCTGATGGGGCTTTCTGCAGTATACCCTCCAATGATGCTCATGGACAGCACACATTTAAATCACTACTGGTTGCTGAAGATTTGTCCTTTCTATTAACAATATAGGGCAATACAGATCCTGAAATAATCTGTGACTTAATACTCGTATTCATTTTACAGCACAGTTGCTATGGACTAAGGCCTTGCACATCATGAAAAATAATACAATTTTAGCAATGGCATATTATTGTTAGAAGGAAGTACATCAAACTGACTTAGCACAGTTTTAGAAAACTAGTTTTGAGAATACTGTATTGGTGTAGCTTAAGTCACAAAACTATTGCTTTTTTGGTAATACTACTAATCTAAAATTCAGAATTGCAGTTTGATTATAAGATTATTTTTACACTCAATTTTGTGTATTTTTGATTTGCGATTTTTAAATTATAAAATCTTGGTTTAAAAAATCAGTCAAATGTATTTATTTTTAAATCTATTAGGAACAGTAAGGAAAGCATAGCTGAAAATACTAAAAAAAACAGTAAAGATATTTCAGTAAATAAGTGTAACCATAGGGGAACATTTACCAGAGGAGAATGCATTTGAGTGAATTGCTACATTAGGATGTGAAAACATAATCTATAAATTCCTGCAGGAAATAATAATGAAAAAATAGATCTTTCTGTTCATAAATACAGCTTAGGTACACGTGGTCTTGAGAGATGCAATACCACTACAAATTCTAAGAATTGTTTTTTGATTGCATTAGAAACAGGCCTGGCTAAGACATAAATAGAATATAACTATCTGCAGCTATATAAGGAATATAAGGTGAGGGAAACGTAATTTATAAAACAATCACCCTGCTTGCAGATTCTGCAGATCACATGGCTGGCAGACACAGAAATAATTTCACAAAAGAACATGGAAGAAGCAAAATCCATGAAGATTGTATTGAAGGTTTGATTCGTTTGACTTTCTCTAGACCTATGCGGGTCTCCATGATTATCATATATATATATACACACACACATGTATTATATTTATGTTATACATACATATATTGCTATATATATGGAAATGTATGAAAAGCTGTAA